ACAACCCTCGGCGTCCGGATGACCCTCAAAGAGGGACTCTCGCTGGAAAGCCTTCCCCACCAGCTTCGGGTCGGCGGGGGCAACGTCTTGGTAGTGGTCCCCGGGCGCGCACCGATATGTCTTCGTTGCCGTCGCACGGGGCAACGAAGACCGATATGCCGTCTTCGTTGCCGCGCCATCGGACACGAGACCAGGGATTGTGTCAAGACCTACGCCCGTGTAGTCGGCAACAGAGCCACCGAGGAAACCTCCGAGCTGCTGATGGACGAAGAGGAGGCGGAGGAAGCAGCAGCACCGGCGTCACCGAAGGAGCTGCAAGGGCAGAGCCAGCTGCTGGGAGAACAGGGAGGCTCAAGAGAGGTAGAGACCGGGGCTTCTCAGTCGGCGTTAACCCTCAAGACGGCTCCAGAAGGAAGCTATGAAGCCTCCGACAAGGAGGGGAAGGCGACGCCGGAAGACGCCGTCGAGGACCCTCAGCCAGGAAATACCGAAGATGTCAAGGGTGGCGGCGAAGACATCGTCATGACCACAGAAAACTGGGCGGTGAAACGAAGGCTGGATGACTCTGCATCTGGGAGTGGGGAGGCAAAGCTGCGCCTCGAACGGGAATGGCGCGGCAAGGTGGGGCGCTACAAGTCCCGGCCTGAGTGACCCAAACGCCGCACGGAGTACACGAAGTGAGTTCTCTCGTACGCCGCTGTTCGTCTCACACTGTAAGTGCCGTGCTCTCGTACTGGCCTCCCTCTAAAACAAATTTTTTCTGAATAGGGCTTTGAAATTTGGCACTTTAAACGTGCGCGGTCTAAATGCACGTCGCAGGCAATGCCAAGTGAGCCGACTGTTTATTGAAAAAGACCTCGACGGTAATCGCCGTGCAAGAATCAAAAATAGAGAGCGAGGCACAAACGGAGAGTATGGTGCGGCTCTTTGAGTCACGTTACGATGTGTGCGTCAGTCACGCTGTTGGGACGTCGGGGGGTTGTCTTTTATTCATTAGAAAGTCTCTAGGCACTGTGACAAAAGTTGTTAGCTGTGAATCGGGAAGACTTGTTCTGTGTGATCTGTCTATTTCAAATTCTAATTTTCGCCTGGTGTGCATTTACGCTCCCAATAAGGTAGAGGAAAGATTAGTATTTTTTGAAAATATTTATGAGTATCTGCAAACTGATCGGCTTGTTATTTTGTTGGGGGATTTCAACTGTGTTTGCGAACCGCGCGACAGATCAAATAATACTCGGTACAGAGATGGGAGTACTGTTTTTCTATGTGAGTTGGTCGAGAAGTGTGAACTGGAAGATGTTGGCCACTGCACGTCAGTCTTTAAGTGTTTGCAATTTACGCACTTCCAGGGCGCAAGTCACGCGCGGCTCGATAGAGCATATAATTCTTTGGAACTCGTCGAAGTGTGTAAAACGTATGCAGTGGACCAAGTGCCTTTCAGTGACCATTGTCTGGTTTCTTTTGTATTGTGCTCATCAAAGGAGAATGCAAGCAAGTTCACTTGGAAACTGTGGAAGTTAAATACAAAACTTTTACAAGACGAATTTTTTATGAATGGGGTGCAAAAATGTCTGGGGGAGTTAGATAATATAAAAGACGATAGCATTGGAGCGAAATGGGAATTATTGAAACAAGAAATCAAGATGAGCGCCATCGAATGATCTAGTTGTTTGAAACACGCGGAAGGAAAAGAAATTATGGAGTTAAATCATCTGCTACAACAGTTACTTCATGCTGAATGCCTGTCACCCGGTCTATTCTCAGACGATATCAGGAGCTTAAAGAAACGCCTTGAAGCTCTTGATACAGAGCGATATGAGGGGGCCATGGTTCGAGCGAGGTTAAAACGATTATCGCGCGGGGAGATACCGACCAAACGAGTTATCGGCATGGAAAAGAAGTAACGAAATAACCGAGATACGTTATCAAGGGATTCTGTTTAGTGACAGAAAGTTTATCGAGCGAGCGTTTGTGGAACATTACAAAGGACTTTTTAGTTATCGGGCTCCAAAGAAAACGGAGTTCCAAAGCATATTTTTGCCGCTAATGCCGCAACTCGATGACGAAATAAGGGAAAGGTTAGAACAACCGATAGCTTTGGAAGAAGTCGAAAGGGCAATCGATAATCTGAAACTTGGAAAATCACCCCGCCCAGACGGATTAGGAGGTGAGTTTTACAAAACTTTCAAAAACCAAGTTGCTCCTGTCTTGCATCGCGTATTTACTGAAGCGTACGACCTCGGCGTTTTGCCTCCTTCCTTTCTGTGTACGCACACAGTTTTTATTCCAAAAAGTGACGACCCCGTGCGGCTCCGTTCTGTTGGATGTTATAGACCAATAACTCTAACAAATGTAGACTACAATATTTTAATGAAGGTATTGGGTGAACGGTTACAAAGTGTTATAAACGTTATCGTAGGCCCTCATCAAACATGCGGCATTAGGGGCAGGAGTATTATTACCGATGTACACGTTGCACGTAGTATTCTTGAGTGTTGTGATGCAATGCAAAGAAGGGTTGCAATACTGCAAGTCCACTTAGAAAAGGCTTTTGGCCGTGTGTCACACGAAATACTTTTTTCTATTTTAGAACACGTGAATGTGGGTTCGCTCTTATGTAATGGTGTACGTATGGCATACCGTAAGTGCGCCACCAGTCTAGTGGTGAACAAATCGGTCAGTGAACGCATTCCCCTTTTTTCTTCGGTGCGCCAAGGTTGTCCACTCTCGCCACTTCTTTTTTGTATTTTTCTAGAGCCCTTTTGTTTAAATGTAATTCATAATAGTCAGATACGTGGGTTTAGGTTGCACGCAACTGAGGTCCGTATTTTGTCCTATGCGGATGACCTCGCAATTTTTTGTGTGGACAACGAGAGCGTTGGGAAAGCTGTACAGTTAGCAGAAAGTTTTTGTGAACACACGGGTAATGCAGTTAACTGGCAGAAGTGTTTGGGCTTTTGGCATGGCGATTGGACTTCAAAGCCTGTAGTGTTTGAACGCATAGCGTGGTCTGACACTCGAACGCGTTATCTTGGAGTACCGTTGGAACAATACCGCACCAACGACCAATATTGGCGGGATGAAACGGAAGGTATGCGCGCTAAGTCAGAAAAGTGGGGGGGAAAAGGTCTGTCAATTTTTTGCGCGAGCAACTGTGTGCAATACGTTTCTTGTGGCAAAATTGTGGTATGTGTTGCAAGTATTGCATTGTTCACGGGTTAATATTCAACGTATGCATCGTGTGTTTGCTGTTTTTATTTGGAGCTCGACGTGGGAAAGATCGAGCCGAACAAATCTTTTTCGTAGTGTCAAAGCTGGTGGCCTAGGCCTTTCGCATCTGTTCTTGAGACAGCTGGTCAACAGGTTTATTTTTCTTAGAGAACAGAAAAACCCGTTTCTGCGTACTGTATTTCAAACTCGGCTGCGCAGTGCGCTGCCCGGGTTCGTGGTGACAACTGTAGACATCAGTCCTTGTTTACGCGGGTATTTGAAAGAAGTGGTGGATGCATATCGCTTTTTAACAACGCGTTTCTCTCTGGAGTACCTGTCTGTAGTGTCGCGTAAAAAGTTGTCAAACGATTTGAAGGATTTGCTTTTTCCAGTGCCTTTGTACCGTTCTGTATACAGTGCAGGCCCAGGACAGAATGTTTTGAAACGTGTTAAAAGAGTGTTAGTCCCCGCATACACCAAAACCTTTTTTGTTTAAGCTACACAGTCAAACACTTCCCGTTAGAGCTTGGTTAAGTGAAAGAAACATACCCGTTCCATGGTCAGATAACTGCTTTCTATGTAAAAAGACAGAAACTATTGAGCATGTATTTATAGAGTGTTGGGACGCTGTGTTTTTCTGGGACGTCCTTCAAAGGACCATAAAAAAGGACCTTCCTTTAACTCCTCAAGGAATCCGTTTTCTGCCAATGGAAGAAGAGGACGATGTACTGTATGACATGATAATGCTCATGGGCTTACACAGCATATGGAGGAGTCGTATGGCTGTTCGCCACGCTGACGTGGACCTTCGTCCGGTTTATAAGTATTTTGTTGAAAACATGAGTTATCTGAAAGAAAGTGTACAAGGCGCAGCAACCTCGACCTGAGTGGTTGTCGGTACTCCAAGCTCTGTCTACTCTTAAAGACTTTTACCCTTTTGACATCAGTCAAGACGACTGGTGTTCTTAGCCTTTTTTTTAATGTTGAACAATGATGTGTGTCGGTGTGTAATATATAAGGCAATAAAGAAAAAAAGTTTCGTTGTACATCTGTTTCGCGCTTAACAGTTATCGTGCTCCCCTTTTACGCAGAAAGCCAGGGTTCGATTCCTGGCCGCGGGTACGCAATTTTGGTGACTCTAATGTGATATTCTGGTAAATCCGAGAACTGTGTTGCTAATTCGAGGTTAGAATGTTCTACACGCCGAAGCTCCTACACTCATTGTTCCAGAAGCCCACGCGTGTACAAAAGGGGCGTGGCACGCCGGAGTCAGTTTCGCCCCAGCGTTCCACTCTGCTGTCACGCCAACTTCGACGCCCGCGACGCTCTGCTTTCATCTGTTTGTTCCTTTTTTTATTTTTAGGCACAAGTTCACCCCATTAAACGTTTAGCTTTTTCAGTTATTATCGCCTCATCAATTGTCATTCGTGACATTTTGGTGGAGCCCTATGCCCGTGGACCGTACCCCTCCGAAAACACGCCGGCGAAGTGACGTGCTCAGCCCCGGGAGGCTACCCTTCGCAGAAGACCAGACCAAGGCCCGGTCAAGTCGCCGTAACCAAGGCCTACCCCCGGAACTGGGACCCCTGCCCCAGAAATCAAAAAGGAAGACCGCGACGATGACCACTCTACCCGTCGTTGTCCTTCCCGTCACTGCCCGTACGCCCGCGTCTTTCCACGGTGAGCCTTATGAAGACTTCGAGGACTGGCTACAGCAGTACGAGCGAGTGGCCCAGCACAACCGATGGACGGACGAACAGCGCCTGCAGAGTCTTTACTTCGCGCTCGAAGGGTCGGCCAGGCACTAGTTCGAGAATCGCGAGACTTCCTTGATCTCGTGGACCGCCTGCAAGGGTGCGCTGAGACGGACACTCGCCAACCAATATCGACGGGAGAAGGCCGAGGATCGACCTTCTTCGAATGAGGACCCAGGGCGCAAACGAGACTATCACCAGTTTCGTCGAGGATGTTTTGCGCCTGGTCGCTCGCGCCTACCCTCCAGCAACCGACGAAAATAAGCTGCGGATCCTAATGCGAAGTGTCAAGGATGACATTTTCGGCGGTCTTGTTCGCAACCCCCCCTCCACCGTCGAAGACTTCGTCACGGAGGCCACGAACATGGAGCGTGCCCTCCTCGCAAGAGCCAGCCACTACCATCAGCCCTCGAGCGTCGCTGCTGCTTCAGCATCGGGCTACGACATCAGTTCTAGCATCCCCGGCCTTCGCGAAATCATCTGCGACATCGTACGGGAGGAGCTTAAGAAGGTTCTGCCGACTGCTGAACGCCCGGCCTCAATCTCCTTGCCGAGGTCGTCCGAGACGAGGTTCAGCGAGCGTTCCTACCAGATGCCCCTGACACCGTGGCCGCAACCGAAGAACCGACGCTTACCTATGCCGCCATGGCCCGACGACCGCCGCAAGCTCACCGCCAGGTCACGGCA